AAAGAAAGACGTCACAAAAACAGATAACGTTTTTTAAATCGCATATACGAATATAACAAAGCTTTGTGTTATTTTTTATGAATGTTCGGTCAAACGCTAGTAATACAAACATGAGACATTTGTTTAAAATGCTGACCTATTCCTTCCAGTCTCTACAGAGAACGTGCTATCATGTGTGGTCACAACTTACTGTTTGTAAATCAACAGATGCAGTGGCTTCGTCCATGATAAGGATACGGCTTTTTCGCAGGAAGGCCCTAGCTAGGCAAATTAACTGCCTCTGTCCAGTGCTTATGTTGTCGCCTCCTTCTGTAACAATCGTATCTGAAACCAGAATGACACTGCGTATAAATGATTGAACTTATGGTGTTGCCATAAATCACACCATTTTGTGGACATCATTTAATCAGGGATTATTTCCTACCTAACTGTTCACCCATATCAAGCACGTAGTCTTTCAATTGTGCAATTTCGAGAGCATTCCACAAATCCTGGTCGACATACTTTTGTTCAGGATCTAAATTGAACCTGCAATATACATGAAATTAGCTTATATGTTAACACAAACAACTAGGTATTTAAATTGGCTCTCGTATGCCCAGACACACTATGAAGATACGAACGATGTCCCAGGCAGTTCTTTAGAATTTCAGAAAAAAATGTCATACATGTTGTATTCTACATTAAGAGTGCTAACTGTGATATAAGGAACGAAAGTTTTATTAAACTCATATTTGTTACGTAATACACCTCATTATGAATTTATTTTACTGTGATATTATGATATTTTAAATATAGGACTATTATCCCATTTCACAATTTTGGTAACACACATGGTATCGTATATGATAAATGCGTGTTAAAAAAATATCTCCTAAAAACTAACTTTATTTAAAGTGATCCCCCTGATTGCAGCAAACAAGTATAGTTAATCTCATATATTCACGATATTTCCAGTTACTTTAATTCCGTAAACATTTTCATATAAATTGTGATTCTAAATACGCAGACACTATTGTTTTTTCTCATATGTATTGCGAAAGTTCAGGGATACAGGAGGACACTGCCCGGAAAGGGGTTGCAAGGCATGGCAGAATGCTAGGCTATTGCTATACTAAAGATTTACATTTACATACAACACCTTTCATATTATTAGTGTTCTGTATTTAATATGCAGAACACATGCGCAGCCGAATGCTTATAAACAAATTTGTTCGATCATAAATCATTTACCAAACTACTTTGGTATTATAAATAGCACATTCGTGGGATTAACACAATAAACGAAGCAAAACATCATATTGTAGGTATGATGTACTTTCAGCAAAAACACGTTAGGACAGTTGGCATTAGTTTTATTGGTTAAATTGTGTCTTACCGTAAAGTGCCACAGAAAAGAACTGGATCTTGTGGAATAATAGACATTCTACGGCGAAGTGTCAATACAGGAATAGTTGATATATCGATACCATCGATAACGATACGACCTGTTTGGGGTATAAAGCACTATTACCAATTAGATCGGGTTGAAATTTTATTTACATTGATTAATTACAAATATATTACAAATAAGTTTACCTTCAATAATATTGATCATCCTTAATAATGTAAGAGTGAGTGACGACTTTCCACTGCCAGTTCGACCACATATACCAATCTTAAGGATACGAAAGAAACGCAACACTATATGAACAGCAGTTAAAAGTAAACACGTAACCAGGTTACTATGTGGTTTGTTACAAGATGTAATAATGTGTTATCAACGCATTTTGAAACATTAGATACACGTTTTTTGACCTGAACAGAAATTCGATTTAAGGTCGTTCTATTAAATATTGTCAATGAAAACCTACCTTTTCGCCAGCTCTGATTTTGATGCTTACATTATTTAATACTGGATCCAAAGTACTTGCATACCGTGCTGTTATATTTTGTATGTTGATGGATCCTTTGTTTGGCCAATTTTCTGAAGGATAGACAGGACCTGGACAAAAATATGGAACACATGTAAAATGATCAGTCGGTCGCATGATATAGATGTTTAGAAAGAAAAAAAAATCATGATTGCGCAGTAAAATGAGTACACAAATATTATTTGGAAATAACACGTTTATATGCCCTACCTTCGATTTCTTCGGGAATTATGTTTGCATACTCTAAAACGCGCTCAACACCATTAAAGTAGTTCAACAAATCGATTAAAAAAAAAAGCATAGCATTTAACATCGTTGGCCCCTGCAAATACATAACAATACATGATTTTGATAAAGCATATGTTATTTTGTTTATTATCGCCCAATTAAACAACTAGTAGTATGAAACAACTTTCTGCTATATTCAGACTGAACAACAAATATTCAACAATATTCTGAGATTCAGCACAACATACCGTAGATCATAAAATAGTTGTATGCATCAGAGACATATATACGCAAGTACACGCCAATGTTAAGTTTGCCCAACATATGCTAGCTTGCAGCGTGTCGCGATGACTACTGGACAATTCTATATCAGATGAGTAGTGTTGCTACGCAACAGTT